TAAGCCTCTTTTCTAGCAGTGCTACCCCAGAGATGCTGATAATGACAGAAGCAAAGGAGACTTTGCCATGACTGAGCTACAGTGTGGCTAAATAGGTTCAGCCTTTGGCCAGCACCAGGATCGGGAGATAAAGGCCAGGAATCCTTCCAGGAGTTGTTATGTTGGGTTTGTTGTTGTTTTCTCAGTATTTTGTGTTGCTGAACTTCCAGATGCAGATGTGATGAGAGAAAAGGGGTTTCAGGGGGAGGGGACAAAGCTGCCTATGGCTGTAGCCCCTGGAGCAGCCTCCTGCACAGAGGCCATAGGGAGTGAGGGAGTGACCACCTGGCAGAATTCCCTCTCACAGTTACATTGGATTTTGTCTGGGACGTCAACATGAGTTTATTCTATCAACACTTCATTTTTTCCCCAAAAAAAGCTGATTACAAGAGGTTTTTATATCACTTTGATACTTAGTACAGATGAAATGGTTTATCTCGAGTTGTTAAGTACCTTGCTGGAGATATTGCTGTGCTTGACCAAAAGTTCTAGGATATTTTCTTTGGTGTTATTTACAGAACACAGCTCAAATTGGATTTTTCTGTTTCATCTGACCTAAAAAAAGTTTTTAATCCTTCTTAGATCATAATTACCATTGTAAAATGTAATTCTGTTATTCTCCCAAACAGAGACTTACTGGCTGAAGATGGAGCAGGGAGTGTGGTGCATGCCTAGCTTTGCAGTCATTTGGTGCTCCATATATAGAGACAACACTGAGGGAAGCAGGAGAAAAATAGAACTGATGCTGCTGTGTTTGGGCTACAGATAGGAAATCAATAACATATTTTTGCTGAAAGGTGGGAGCTGCAATTCATACTTGTAGAGGCAACGTGTCAAAAATCTATGCAGCATTAACAAAAAATGTTCATGAACTACTTGGATAAAAGTTATTTTCTTCCATTCATCTGTAAAATCCATTCTGCACCCTCAGCTGCCGAGCCCCTGACCCAGGCAGGCACGCAGGAATTGCCAGCAGGGGAATGAGAAATATTGTGCAGAGCCAGCACCAAATGTCTTTGCACTTAGACCTCACTGGGAAATGCAAAGTACTCTGATAACATGTTTGATGACTATTTCAGTAAATTACAAAAGTCAATGTCTCTGCCTGTGTCAGGATGATTTGGCACTGGAAGCTGAAATTGTGCAACATTTCACTACAGTCGCTGCTACTAAAGAAAGACCAGATATGCAGTCAAGAATTTGTTTGGGGGTTACTAAATATTTCATTTAATAAATCTACCTTGTCTTATAACTGGAAACAGTAATGAGAATACTTTAATTATAATTTCCTCCACCTTTAATATTCAGGAAGATTCAGGCGGTCCCATGCATATGAATTTTAAACTTCATAAAACAAAGAGATTAAACCACTAACAAAAGTATGTGGATGCCTAAGTAATAAAAGGAGAATATCAAAGTACACAAAAAGTGAAGCACTACAGAAACCATACCATAAAACCAAAGAAAATTTGAACATTTTTGTGTTTTCAGGCTTCAGAGGCTTTTCCACTTCCCACAAGAGCTCCATTCTCTAGTATTATACCTCAAGAACAAAGTGTACATAATCTGAAAAATGTGCAGTATTGATGGTTGGATCTTTTGGGAAGAGTTAAATTGAGGCAAGACTCTGGTTTTTACCTCGCTCCATCCCCTTTTCTGGTGTTCCTTTAGTATTATTGGTAGAACTGTTGACTAATCACACCCATCACCGTTCTCTGTTGAATTTTCCTCCAGAATTACATGCACGTGACCCAGGAAGTGTTCATCTTAGGGTTAAGTATGAGCAGGTGGTAAGTAAGCAAGAGTCAAGCTTGCTCATGGTGAACTAGATCATGTACTATGTCGTTGAAAGGAACAAACAATGGTTTCCATTTATTACTAAGTAGTACAAAGAGTACTAAGGTGCTCAAAAAGGCAAAGTTCAGTTTTAGAGAAATGCTCCATTTTCGTTCTGTCACTGGAAACTGCAGCTCTGCAGTGTCCCCCGGGCTGGACTGCCTGTCCTCCTCCTGGGGAGGAGGATAAGGAGCAGGAGCTGTGTGCCTGGGCTGCTGTGTCCCCCACCCTGGTGAGGATTTTCAGTCCTTCTGGGAAGGTGGCAGCAGCTCTGGAAGCAGACAGCCCTTAGGTAATGCTATTACCAAAATGGGGGCAAACAAGGTTCCTTACAAAGGCATGCTTTGCTAAGAAAAGTAGCTTTACATAAAAGGTAAAGTGTTTGTTTATCTTGGGAGTGTGTGCCAGGGAGAACCAAAGGGTCACTCAGAGCTACCTTAGCAGTCTGCAAGCTCCTGATAATACCATGGCAAGATCCTGACCCAGTCCTCAAAAATAAATGCTTGCTCTTTGATACATTAAGAGAGATTATACATACAACGTTTGCCCTACAGTATTTCTGGAGTATTGTTTTTATGTTCTGATTCAAATATTTGGGAATGTTGTAAAGCAAGTGTTGCTCTGGTTTAGGTGTTATAGAGGGTGGGATGTTGGCAGCAGCCAGTGCACATTAACAGCTAGAGCAACTTCAACCTCAGCTAACATTCACTGTGTGTCTCAGTAGATGTATTTGAGTGGCAGGATGTGTTTTAATCTGAGTTTAAAGAGAATTTTGTATTTTGTGTATTAGTTTAATGAAAGAGACATGGAGACATTACAGTTTGACCTAAAGAAAGGATACAGATGCCACTGATTAAAGTGGTTGTTCCTGCTAACAAAAAAAAATTACATTATGTTCTCTTGCAATGTATTCTACCCTTTATAACCTTCAGAGCAAAACAGCCACATACAGAAATCAGGAATTGTGTGGTTTACTCATATCCCCTCAGTATTATGTATTTCTCAAAGGGAAAGCAGAGGATACCTGAGAATATTGTCTGATAAGACAGCTTGGTTAATGTCCGTGGGTTTAGACTCTTTGTGGTTATCACCAAATTGCAAAAAGCAATTTCCAATCTTGACTGGAAAAACAAAAAAAATCCTGAGGAAAAAAATGTGTTGTTTTCTGAGATGAAACAATTTCTATCACCCTTGGAGGCTAGAAAGTTAACATTTCCTTGTGCTGCTACAAATATTTCTCTATTTCCCCCAAGTGCACTAAGGCAGTGTAACACAGCTAACTTTGAACATTAGTAGGGCCAATAAAGTATGATCCTACTTTATCATGGTGTTTTGCCTCTGAATTCACATCTAAACCCCCTAAATTTAACTATTAAGCTAGACTAAAGATTAAACAATGCAGAGCTAATACTCAATGGATATAAATATGTGGAGTTACTAAGCAAAGTTCCACATACCAGTGCTTCATTCCACAGTATCCCTCACATCTACAACTCATCATTCATTGTTACATTCAGTTTTTAGAATCAGAAATTTGTAGACATGTTAACTTATAAATTAAACATTATACACTTTGACTCCTGTTATTTGTTATCTTCTATCTCTTCAGTGGATATGTGCAGATTCAGACATGGGAGAGGATTTAGCTTATGGTGACCACATTAACTGCAGTTTTACCCAAGTGTTGTTCCTTCCTGCATTAACATTTTTTGCATTAAAAGGATATGGTTTCATAAAAAGTTATCTACTGCTTGGTTTAAATATATCACTTTACAAAAGAGAACAGAAGAATTTGTGAATGTATGTTCTAAATGAGAGAGATTTTTAGCAAGGACACGTGAGTTTGTTTCTCAGAGCCCCCATGTGGTGCAGACAGACTGATGGGATCAATCCCATTGTCTTGCCCGTGATTATCTATCCTGGCACTCTGGAGTGATTCATTTTCCATGCTGGTTTAAAGCTTCCCAGGAGAGGAGGCTGCTGCCTGCTCTCATTCAAAGACAGTGGCTGTCATGGGTATCATTTAAGAATTAATTGTTTGTGACATACACAGATTAAATAAATAGGACTGGATAGGTTTTGAGTGTTGAACTGGGTTTAATTACCAGAAGGAAGAATGTAGGCTGAATTCTCTTAGGAGCTACACAGGATGGATGCAGGAATTGTCCTTTAATGACAGATCAGAATTCTTCATCTCTCCATACCTGACTACTCAAGCAAGCAGTGGCTGAAGACTTTTACAAGGTAGACATCAATTCCATGTTTAGTCCTTCAAACAAGCTGATTTACAGGCCATGTGCAAATATTAATGTTAAACTATCCTCATGGAGGACAAACTGTCACCACTCTTTCCTCTTTAAGTGTTTTATAGAGCATTGCTTCTCTTTGTCTTAGGGAGATGGGAAAGGCAAATTGTCCATAAATGCTGACCAGAGGAACAGGCTGTACTGTCGGACAGTGCAGGAGTTTTATGAATCAGGTTTTCCTGAACTCCCAGGACAGCACCAATATTCACACAAGTGCAGTATTGATTACTGCACCTGACTCTTGACTTACTCTGCTGGTCCTGGCTCGAGAAGTTCCCCAGCCTCAGTTGCAAGGAGCAGGATGCTGCCAGGTTACCAACTTGGTGACACTTCCATTCCCCTCTGCTGGGTGAAGGAAGGCAGATTGAGACATGAGGAAAAGCCAGCTCAGTATACAAAGGCTTTGTTCATCCACAGGAAATGGGAATTGTTCTCAGATAGAGCAGCTGGGGAATCATTCTTAGGCTGGAAAAAACCAAACTGCATCTTAAGTTTCTAGCTCCTTTTGCACATACAGTGTTAGGCTGAAGGGCCCTTCTGCTGCTGCATTTTTCAGCAGGGAGAGAGGAGTGTGTTTTATACTATGGTTTTGATGGTATTTTTTCTTGCTTTATCTCATCCCTCCAGTTTTTGGCAGGCAGTTGGGCAGCAACTTTCTGTTCAAGCTCATTTCTTTGGTAATTATCCTAAGAGGTACAACACTATCCAATCATTCTTTTTATGAGATACACTCATCATTAGAGATAAGTTTTGCTTCACAGAAACGAACCGTAATATCAAAGAATATTAGAGTAATACCAAACATGTCTGTTTTGTTAGACCACTGTGTCTTGGGATGGAGATAAGCTGCTTTGTGTACAGAATGGAGAGAAGGAAGGCCGTGGTTGGACCCAGTGGATTAAAGGAGATGAAATGCACCTGGTAAGATCATGGCAGAGTTTTTGAACGCCCCTCCATTCAAATGGTTAGATACAAGACAGCAGGGAATGTGCTGTGTCATTCGGGCTTACTTTGACATAATTGGGTATTGGTGCAGCATTTGACTTGTTTCTAAAGCAACAATTTCTTTTGGAGCCATTATGTTTTTATGTCCCTTTCAAAGCCTGACCATTTTGAATGCTCTTTTCTGTGCTCAGTGTCTGTCCAGAGTCACCAGGCTGAAATGTTCACATGAGGAAGACAATTACCAGAATGTCCCTCACAGTCTGCAAAATGCTCAGTATGGGAGCTGTGAAACTGAGCACCCAAAAATAAGGGAAAAATACACAATTGTTATTTTAAAATAATTACAGGCCACACTATATTATAGCCTAGAGAACTAAAACAACGATTAAGCTTTTGAAATTTATGTTTTTTTCAGATCATCATTTTTTATCTTTCTAAATTAACAGGACCTGAAAGAAGATGCCTGTTCTTTTGTCCTATAACTCTATAGCATCCTCACTCTCTCATCAGTGTGGGTAAAAGGCAGGGCTCCTGCTGGGATAATAAACTCCAACCTCCATTTCTCCTCACTGTGCAGTGCTATTAGCATTCAACAATCTAAATGGATATATTCTAAATGTTCAAATCAGTAGCAGAGTTATCAAATCGTTGCAGAAGCACCCCAAGCCCCTTATCACTAAACAGAATTTTGAGGAAGTGTTGGTGGTTCCAGAATGCAGTTGAGGAGAGGAATGGGTATGCCAGATCTGCCCAGCTGGCCTTGGAGCAGCACAGGCAGGGAGAAGGTTGCTGTGTAAGCGAGGACTCTATAGCTGAGTCTATAGCATGGGCTCACCTGGAGGAGGGGAGGCAGCAGTAAAAGGAGATGTCTCAATTTCCTGCGCAGGCACACTTCCTCCAAGAGGCAGCTGTCCGTGTTTGCACGCTCCTCGCTCCCAGCGGCACAGCAGGCAGGGCCAAGCGGCAGCCACAGCCCCCCAGCTCCTCTGCTGGCAGACAGCTCCAGTCCCCCATCACAGCCTGCCCCAAGCTCAGCTCACCCCTGGCTGCCCTCGGTCCTGCACACCTGTGCCTTCCCCTGCACATAAACAATGGCAACACTTGCTCTTGGATTTCTCTGGACTGGCATCCTGCTTTCTGGCCTTTGCTAGCCCCCAGGAATTATCTCTTCCCATCTTCTGTCCCCAACATCAATTCCTTCAGCCCTGGTTTCTGTTCTCCTTATTCTGATTCCTGCTCTAGCCATACAGCCTGGCCCTGGACCTCCATGCCCAGAGCACTTTCTAGACTTGTCCCAGTCAGGAGGCTGATTTTAGAAGTCAGAAACTTAGATTCCATTACTCAAATACTTGTGTCTAGTGGCAGTTTAGGTAGCCCAGGGTAACCTGACTGCTCTGATGCTGCTTTTCAGAAGGCTGGGAGGAATTCTGGATCATACCTTCCAGCTCATGCGTTCCCTCACTGACACTTCGAAAATTTACCACAATCTGTTTCCCATGTACACAGAAGTCAGTACAAAATTAATTCATGCAAAGGAAATAACCAGGTATCTTAGAGCCCACTCCTCGATCTTTCAATTTTCTCACTTCTGTTTTTTCATGGATTTCAAAATATGTCCTCTTTATTTCTCTAATCCTTGATAATGCAGCTCTCTCCATTAAAAGTACAGTAGAGTCCCCTTTAGTATCTTATTTTTGACCAGCTAAGATTACTAGGTCTTGTCCTTTTGAGAGAGCTTTAATACAATGAGGAGTTACCTTTAAAGAATTGATACTTCAATAGCTTTATGAATCTATTGAACTTTATACAATGAGCCAAGTGTTAATTTATTCTTTTCACAGTTCTGCAGAAAGTAGGACCACATCCTTTAGTAGTTTATCGCTTCCTATTGTCTTCATTTCATTCTGTGGTCTGTACTTTGTAGTTCTTTTTAGATTTTATTTTATGTGAATGACTTATTTGACCATTCCCCATTTCCTTTTGAGTTTTATTACCCTTTTCTATTGTATTGATTGCTTCTGCTCAGTAGTTTTTGTCACTGTCAGCAGATCTCTCAGCCCTTATTGCACACTCCTTCTTCTGGGTTACCTCTGCAGGAGTGAACAGAACCAGGTCCTAACCAAAGTCACTGCATCACTCTGTTGTTCCACCAACTCAGCATAAGCACTTGCTCTTACTGGGGTCGAGCAACATATTAATTGACATATGTCAATTGAGATTATTGACCTAGTTTAAGGTTTTTTAAAGTCACTTTGTCAAAGTCCTCCATAAGAAATGTGCATAACTTCATCAAAATATTCTAGGAGCTTTATTAAAAGTCTCATCTTGAACTGGAAAGTGTATCCCTTCTGCTAGGTCATGCACGAGCAGTGTCTTTATGTCCCTTAAGAGCTCCCACACTCTTTTTTCTTGCACCTAAGCCTTGCCCCAGGCACGTGCCCCAGGCACAAACCTGTGTGCACTTCTCAGATGGACCTTGAGGAGTTTCAGGAGCAGGGATGGGTGAACAGGCAAACAAACAGCAGCAGCCTCACAAACCCAGGATGGGAACTCTGCCCCTGCTCATGCTCAGCTCACAGAGGTGCAGAGATCAGCAAGGGGGGATTTCCAAAGCTCCTGTGGAACTCAAAGAATCAGCTTTGTACATCCAGGGTGCTCAGGTTCAGTCAAACCCTCTGTGCTCCGCTGGTTGACAGGCCTGGAGCAAATCTTCTGTACAGTCACCTGCCTCTGGGAGCCAGGAGCTCTGTGTTGCTAAAGTGACCCTGATTTCTAAATTTGCAGGCTTGAGCTACCAGTCCTCAGAGATTCAGAGCTGGTGAGGCAAATCCATCCCCACTGCTTTATGTAACCAGAACAGAGAATGCTCATGCCAAAGGCCTAAAGCAGTTGCATATTATTGAGATATGATCAAGAATGATGCACCAGGAATGTATTTGGCCCTTTAAGATCTGAGATCCCAAAATAACTTCCCTTGCTTCACCTTTTAGCAGAAAACAAACCCAAACCAGATGTTTTCTTTTGGGATGAAAAATAGGCTAAAATATGTACAAGCCTCCCAATTTAATTTAATAGAAAATCCTGAATTCAAATTCACCTGGGTGTACACATTAATCCATAACATTTTTGTCCTAAGTAAAAATTGTGGTTTCTAATTATTTTCTCTTCCTAGGAAATAAGAGTGTGTGGAGTCACATGTAAGCAGGTCTTTAAGAAGGTGCAGTGAGCTACTGCTGCTACAGGAATGAAGAACAATAGAATTTACTGACTTGCCAGCAACTCTCCAAATGCTAATACTGAGCATCCTCAGCAACAAGAGCAAACACAGAAATGAAGATCACATTAGAACCATATAGTTGGAATAAAATATTTTTAGGAAATTGAAAAAAATGACTGCAAATTTAACTATTTTTAGAAATGCCAATTAAAGATACTAAACTCTCTAAATGTGTGTATACCATAATTCTCAACTCTGCCGAAAAAGGACTATTAGGTATAGAACAAGCTGCTGGAGCTTTAGACCTTGTAAGCCATTTTTTTACTCTCAGTAGATATCACCCTTTCAGAGCCTTAGCCTTGTTTTCAAATGGTGAACTGCAGTTTTAAGGAAGCAAATGAGAGCTGTAGGATGCAGCTTGTACTTAAATCCTGCATTCAATGAAGCCAGTAAAATGTTACCATTAGCTCTGGTGGAATACATCCACACTGGAAGTGTTCCATCAAAAATAAAAATCTGATTTCTCAAAGCAAGTAAATTTATGGATCAATACTTTGGGAAAAAAAAAAAAAAGCTTACAAAAGCATGGCTAAGGAGCAGTGCTGTTCCAGATGCTTTAGCCAATATCTGCCCATGCATTTTTTGTTGTTGTTGTTCTGGAGACACTGAGAGTAAGGTCATAGCTAGAAACTGTCTGTAACTGTACACACACCACACAGAAGATGACACCAGCATTGCTTTGTACAGTATCACTTGCAGATATTTTATGCCCATCATAGTCCCATGTTCTTGTGCAGACTGAGCATAGGAGAGCCTTGGCCTGGCAGTTGAAATCAGAACACTGATTAAACCTTAGCGGGGGGAATAATACTGCCAGATTTTCAGTCCATCAGCACACTGGATATAGGGAGCACCACCAGGTCTCCTCAAATTCAAAAAGGTTTAAATTCACAAACCTTAGCATGTAACCTGGAATTCCAGGTGTCTCCTGTAACAGCTGTTATTTTCATGGACTCAGTCAGTGGGGAAATCACCACGGCAGAGCCTGCTCTGAACTGGGACCATCCCTTTCCCTGCTCTGAACTGGGACCATCCCTTTCCCTGCTCTGGAGCAGGACCATCCCTTTCCCTGCTCTGGACTGGGACCATCCCTTTCCCTGCTCTGCTGCAGCTCCTCTGCTTAGCCCTGCTTTTGCCTTCCCCAGGGACTCACTCAGTGCTGACTGGGACAGTTCAGACATGTACATGGAACAAATGCTGCCATCCTCTACTAACCAGAGACTGTTTTAAAAGATGCACTGTTATTAATCCTGTTCAGGAAAGCTGGGAGCCTGATCTAACATGGAATCCCAGACTCACAGCATGGCCAGGGATGGAAGGGATCTCAGATATCCAACCTGCCTGCCATGGGCAGGGACACAGCATGGAGAAAAGGAGGTTCAGAAACAGCCATTGTAAAGTCTAAAGCTAGCACAGCAGGGATGCCAAGCTTTCTGAACCATGTTATTTCAGTGGTACTGTATCTTGTGGGTGTAGCACCAGAAGTGCTGTAACAGACATCTAATTCAATTTTCTAAAGTTTTGGGGTTTGCTTTACTTCAGAAAGTACCCAGAAGATATTACCCATGAAGACTTAAGCATCCCCCTGTGATAAACAGGTGAATAATACTCCCTGTCCATGTAAACTCTTGTGCTAGCATTGCAGCAGCAGTGGATGATAGCGCTCAGAATTACAGACATGCAATCAAATTATTTATTTAAGTTCCCCTCTAATTATTTTTTCTTGGTACTTCTTATGACTAAGGAAGTCTCTGGGACATATACGTGAATCTGATCAGCAAGGTCCATGCAGAAGCTGCTTTTGTCTCCTAGAAGAGTGTGTTAGCCAGCCAGCTGTGTGTCCATAGCTAAATGGATATCCTGACAGACAGACAGGCCACCAGCTCATGGGGATTGAGTTTTCTGGTACTTGGAGTGGGACAGATCAAAACTGGTTACAATTAAATATGGTAGAAAGGTTGTAAGAGAGGGAAAGGATCAGAAACCTGTGGATCTTGGACTAAAATGCTGTTCTGCTTAAGGGAAATTGCAAATACTTGCCTATTTAAAATGCTATTTATCATCTTACATAAGGTTGAGGATATCCCAGTTGCCAAATTTCAGCACATCAGTCATTTGTTTTTCTTGGAAGATTATTGGACACAGAAACTTTTTTCCTTAAAGTTTCTAATTATTGATTTCATAATCATGGACACCCTCCAAGTATCTTTGCACTCTTCAGCCCCAAGGAGAGCAAGAGAACAAACAAGTAACAGTAATAAAGTGATGGCTCACACCTCCATCCCCAGATAAACTTGGCAGGATTTTTTTTTAATGCTCAGCACTGACAAAGACCTTTTTGGAAATGTAGTTTTCCTTCAACAGAACTTGGCTGTTCATAACCTTTAATTCACCAGCTGTCTTCTAATTTTTGCCTGCAGCTCTCTCCAGTCTTGTGTAACATTCACGAACTCCTTCTGCAGAAGGTTGTAAGTGGATCAATTAACATCTAGCTAAGTAAATCCAATTGTTAAAAGCTATTATTATTGCAATCAAACAGACAGCTTTTCCCCTTTGGGTCATTTGGTACAAGGGCAAATTTAGCACCATACTAATAACTAATGGCTTATCAAGCAGAAGCAGTGTAACCTGCTGCTAATTATGGAGGAAAGGCAAGCCCACAAAGCACTTCCACAGCTCATGGATGGAAAATACAGAAACTTCAGAAATGTTTAACTTTGAATAGATTCTCTTCAAGTCATCTCAATTGCTTGTCATTATAATTGTAACCTCTTACCTCACTGCAGCAACCCTTTCCCTTGGAAAAGGAAATTATGTTCATCCATTGCTTTCCAATTAAGTGTGTAAAATTGACCATGCTGTTTCCATGAACATTAAAAAACTGTTATCATGAAATGTAATTTAAAACTTTCTCCATAATGCTTACTGAATGTATAGCATTCAACAATTATTTGACAAATATCTGCCTCCCTGACTATTTCATAACTACTTAGTAACAAAGACCTTCACAGGGAATTCATACACAGATTTGCTTGTGATCCAGGAATCAAACTTCATATTGATTTTCTTGTTCTGCAACAGAATTTCAGCCATGGTTTGCCAATATCCACTCTGTATTCTTACAGAACTGCAATACCTTCAGATAACGGACATCTTATATTTCATTAGGAAAGACCAGTGCCTACAGAAGCAGTGTGAACGTAAAGTGTAAACAAAACAGACTTTTCCTGTTGTTGAGAAAACACTTTTTGTTTACTTGAACCTGCAACCTACAGGTACATTACAATGTCATTCCTCCCACCAGAGAGCCATTCCCTGTTTTGTCCATGCCACTCAGGTGTTTTTACCCCTTCCAGTGTATAAACTTGGCTGTTCCCATCTCTTACAATCTAAGCCGTGGAAACCAGAAGTGAAAGAAGAATTGGGGTTACAGTCTACATTTATGCAACAGTCCAGCTGTGAAGGCTGGGGAGGAGATCCTTAGTGTAATGATCTGTGTAAGAGTTTGATCGTAAAATAAACATGGGCTGAATGGCAAATTCCTCACAAGAAGAAGGAGCATGAGATTCCCAAAGAATGTCCCGTGGGACTGAGCTCTGGAGCACAGCAGAGCCCTGGCGTGCCATGGATGTGCTCCCCTGGGTACATCCACTTCCATCAATGTCTGTCATTTGGAGCTTGGCTCTCCTCTAGGAAACTTGACAGTAAAAAGCCAGAGTTCACCACTGAAACATTAATAAAACTTCCTAGAATGTACCATTTTGAATTATATTCTCATTTGGACAGTCTCATCTGTAACCACAGAACAGATTCCCAGCTATTCATCATTTCACCTTCTATCAGTAGCACATTTGTCTTGGATTATTACCTGGGTACAGCTATTTCTATTTTAAGAAGTTTTTTTCACCTCAAAGCAAATGTTTATTTAAATAATTTGCTCCTGTCTAGCAAAAGTGCACACAAAAGTAGAGTCCCTTCAGCACCATGTATTTTATTACCAGGACAAGCTTTTTCTCTATATTAGTAGCTAATAATAAGAATCCACCCTGAACAATTAAGGAAAATGGCATTTCAGTTCTTCACCAAACCCTTCAATAAGACGCCCAGCAATTAAGTTTCTGCACCATGAAGGCAAAATAAAATCCCCTCTTTCCTTTCTTATTAAGGGAAGGAGGAAAGAAGGATAGGAAACTGTCTATGGTTATTGACTCTACACTTATTTACATAACAACAGACCATTTGTCTTGTGGTACACCCCGATCCCAGTGCTGAGCAAACAAAAGGCCAATATTGTGACAAGAGCGTTCCAAATTTAAAATATTTTATTTAAATGTTCAGCTATTTGACATTTTCCAGATTGGAGCAGAAGCATAAGCAGTTATTTATGTGCCCATCAGCATGACAGAGCAGCTAACATTTAAAACTCGTGTGTGCATGTGCAGAACACGTGGTTACACACACCATGGTTATCAGCAGCACGCTGCAAAGACAGACAGTCCTTTAAACGCTTTTAGCCTCACTCCCAGAGCTCTCTCGTGCCTGTTTCACTGGCCTTTCTTTCCCCTCCCCTTCCAGCTACAAAAGGCAACACTGCAGAAGAGCAGAGGTGAAACACAGGGAGAGATGAAGACTTAATGCAAAATTGTACTGAAACTTGGAGTTAAACAGAAAAGTTCCTCTCCATCCTGATGCTCCCACTGAATGTTTCTCTCATGCAAGTCAGGATTTCCTATAAAAAGGAAGTGTTTATAATGCAGTGCAGTCACCATTGTAATTTGGTGAGGCTTAGAACCACAGCACACGAGTCAAAACCAACTGGAATTTAACATTCCATCAAGTGCAACAAGACTCACAATAGTTCCTTGCTCCCTTTCTCTAATTTGAAATCACCGTGATTTGAGTTATATTTTCTTACCAAGGCACTGATGCTTGTCATCCACAACCATTCCAATTTCCAACACTTCTCTCCAGCTGGGCATGCTAAGGGCATGCAGAGGAAGCTAACACAACTCAACAGAACTTCTGTGAAATGACTGTGTGATCTTTCACCCACCCTGTCACCAAACATATTGCCGTTCTTGATGCTGGAATTTCCAAGGTTCTTTTTGTAGAGGAAA